CCGGTCGTACGACGAGACGAGTGGGTACGGCAGTACAAATTGTAGCATACAGTACTGGCCGGCGATTGTTTGACCACGGTCATCCCGTGGGCTCTGGATGTCCAGACACTGGTCGTATTGACCCAATCCGCTGATAATCTATATATTTTTATTAATTGTATTTTAAATAATATACGTATATGTATTTATCTGTTTAATTTACTCAAATATTTATTTATTGGTGTGTTTAATAATTAAACGGGAGAATCAATTCACCCAATATTAAATTGATAAATTATAATATTCAATTTGTGCATAATTATTATTGAATTTAAAAATGTAATAAAATAGTTCAACTTTTGCTATTATATTAATAAATAACACTAGTAATTAACAGGAGCAATCCTAGTGCACAAGGTAATAAAATAATAGACCTTGTTTGCACTATCTTAAAATAACATTTTATATTTAATAAAAATCAAATTAAAGTAATATATTTTATATTTATTATCAAAGATATATTAATTTTAGTAAACTACATAAAGAGTTGTGATAAATTTTAAGAACTTTAATGTCCGGGTTTAAGTTTAAATTCAATAATTAATGAAATATTTTTATAATTTAAAAATATAATAATTTTTATGTTTATTACACAAACAGGATATTGAAATTATAGAAATGTAAATTTTAATTAATTAAAAGTAATCACAAAAGTTATAAACATAACAGTAATCATTGTTATTATTTAGTGTATAAACTGTCACATAAATATTAATAATACAAATAATATGAACAATTTTGATTTTATATTTTGTATGGTTAACACCAGAAGAGCCCATTTTAAACTAAAAATCAACAATTATTGTTTTTTAATATGGTTACTCCGCATGAAATTTCTATGATAGTAATTTGACCATATAAACTGTAACTTAAATTTTATTTTAAATAAGCGGCATAACAATTTTTAATTTTATTATTAACATGGTTTTGATTTTAAAGTTTTATAAATTATATAATATAAATAACAAATTTTTAATTTATCAATACAGGTTATTTATTATTTACAAAACAATATAAAAATATTTTATCATATTAAAATTTTGATTGTATTATTCAATTCATTAAAACAAAAATGGTAAAATTTCAAAACAAGTACTTATAATTCAAATCTAAATAAATAATTATTTGATCAAAGAAAATGCTTTAATTAAACATTTTACACTATTAATTTGTAAAATAGATACTAATTATTGAAAGCTCATAGTTTTGTAATATAATTATTATTTAAATCCATATCTAATTTATTATCACAATTAAAAATATGTCCCGCAGTACTAATACCAGTGCAGTTCACCATAGAGTGACCATCTGTACGATCGGCGCAATAATAACTGTCCATTTGTTTGTTAACATTCATACAGAAAGACGAGTCCTTCACGTACTTAATTAGATTTTCAATGGGACCGACAAACAGTACATACAGTGTGTACGATAACATCAGGGTAAGTGTAAAGTCAACGTAAATATTTTCCAACTAGTTTAAAAATACATTAAAATAATTATCATATATTAGTTGTTTAATCATTGTTTTTAATCAATAACAAAAATAAGATATTTGTTTTAAAGTGTGTGATTATTCTTTAACAATATTAATTGATCATGGTTACTTACTGTCTTCAGATCGGTCATGATATATGTTTGCCTTACGGAATATATGCGATAAAATATAATTGGAAAATGAACTAAATATATGAGTAAAGATAATTTGGCCAAAGGTTGCACACATTGTATGGACAGTATTTTGTTTAGTAATGCTGTTATTGAAACAAACAAATGCATAATCATAAATATTTTTAATTTATTATGGTACATTAATCTCTCTCTCTCTCTCTCTCTCTCTCTCTCTCTCCATTTTATCTAGATCATTTAAACTTCATAACAAAGTATACATACCGGCCTTCCCTGTGCAACAGGCAAACCAAACCCAACCCATAGACGCAGACCAGAAAAATTTACCCAGACCAAAAAATAACACCGCATTCATTTCTGATGGTGAATCGTTAAACAAATTAAGCGTATTATTCCACATGATTACTGCCGGCAGTGCAGCCATCGCCAGTACAGTCACACCTCGGTATAACAAACCCTCCTCAATAAACGGCACGACTAGTTTAGTGTCCCGTTTAATACCATAGCCGGCCAATAGGCCGATGGCAAACGAGCACACGTACTGTAAAGTGTTCATGTGGTAGGCAAAAATAGACAGGGTCATTGTCTGTAATGAGTCTAGTCTGGTCATTTCGTAATACGTGTTTAGACCGTATAGTATATATGGTGACATAATTAGCACGATTCCTGTTAGTATGACCATTATAGTTATTTTAATACCCAGTGCGGGGTATTTGTGTAATGTTAGTACCAGTGCCGGTGCTAATAGACATAGTTGAAAGTTTGATGATAAAAACCATGTTACGTGCACGCACTATTAAAAATATTATATAATTAGACAATTTATAAAGTTAAACAACATTTACATAGTTAAACAAAATTAATTTTAAATACAAAAATGTAGCACGCACAATTCCAAAAAAGTATTTCCCGCTCAGTATATTAAAATTGCTGTAATAGAGAAAATTGGACATGATGATTTTCCAATCCTTACAACCGGGTTGAAAATACTGGTCGCACTCGTGCCAGACGGGCCCACTGCCCACCAATGGTAGCAAATAGTATAGTAATAGGGCGGCGCACAGGGGAATAGACAGCTTGAGCCACCGTTTGGCCACATAAGTCACATAGTTAAATTTTGCGTTTGATTTATCAAGCACCCCGATAAGATTATAACACAATAATAAACCCCTATATTAACAACAAAATAAATATCAATTATGATATATTTAAATGTTATTATTAAATGTGTTTTATGTAGGATTAATGTTGGCTAAATAGTGGGGGAGGGGGTTAGGGTAGGAACAGGTATACTCACGATGAGACCATGAAGGTGTCAATACCCAGTTGTTTAGCTCTCACAAAAAAGTACCGGTTCTCGTGAAACAGCTGTAAGGGTACGGATGTGTTGAACGATTTCAATAGAAATGAATGAGCGGTGAAGAAGTAGGTGTGGGCGCACACCATCTGCAACGACACCAACAGTTTGATGGTATTAATGGGTGCGAAGCGCCGACACTTCCCGGTGCTGTCCGGCCATAGTTGCCGTGTGTTTGTTATGACTGAAAATGATACCAACAGTCGGTTTAGTGAGGGTTGTATCGGTTTTGCGCTGGTGTTTTTGGTGAAATAGTGCGGTTTTAAATTGGCGTGGTATAATTCGTACATGGTGCTTATTAGTGCTAGAATGGCCAGTGTGCTAAATACGAGTCTGTAAAAACATCAATGTATTTTTAATGTATTTTTTATTAAATTAATTTTGCAGACTGTAAATATACATTTTAGATAAAATGAACCCTGTAAATATTTTTGAGTTTATTGTAATTTTGGATAGCTCAACATTAAAGGTCATTTAATATTAATTTAAAAATACAATATATTTATTTTTACTAATTATTGCAAACAAAATGCAATTTATAAAAAATTTTATCCAATTATACATACATTGAGAAGACCTGAAAGCCATCCAAACTGATTGGTCGGTCCTTTACAGCACATGTCAACTCATTTATCTCAACCGGTATTCGTAATAACGGGTATATAACTAGATATTTAATAAATAAAATTGTTTTAGCTTAATTATCTCGTTCTGTCCCAATTCTCTCTCTCTCTCTCTCTCTCTCCATTTTATCTAGATCATTTAAACTTCATAACAAAGTATANCTCTCTCTCTCTCTCTCTCTCTCTCTCTCTCTCTTCTCATAAACACATACTTCTATTGAACTCCTTTTCAATGTCTTTTGGATGGCATTTATCGGGAATACAAATCCCGAACTCAAAGAACTTTCCATTTCTCATATTTAGATATTCCGTTAACTTAAGCATTGGATTCACTGCCGAATAGCCGCCGAAACCGTATTTTTCCGTAAAATTTTTCAATTGTGTGGCAAACGGGTTGTCCTCAAAGGTCCGGTCGTACGACGAGACGAGTGGGTACGGCAGTACAAATTGTAGCATACAGTACTGGCCGGCGATTGTTTGACCACGGTCATCCCGTGGGCTCTGGATGTCCAGACACTGGTCGTATTGACCCAATCCGCTGATAATTCCGCCCCAGAAGCCGGTGGGCGTCGGATGTGGCTGCGAGTCAACGACTATACATGTATATTGCAAAATAATAATTAAAGTACTTGCTTATTTAGAATTTATGTTTTAAAATAAAACATTATGATTAATTATTAATGACATTATCTATATGTACTAACACTTGAAGGCCCAGATTTCCTCCCGGTTGAGCCCCTGTAGTAGACTAGTGATGGCCAGAGAGCACTCGGGCTCGAGTGCAAAGTCGTAACTCAACTCGTAGGCCAAACCCAGCAAATAGTTAGCCACCGCTTTCAGGTCCGGGTTGTCGTACAAGCGGTGCTCCCAACGGAAAAACCGCTGAAACCGACCCCACGTCTCGTCAAAATGTCTGACCACTCGATGCCGGGGCTCTGATTTCAGTGACTCGTAGTCTTCGGGCAAAAAGTCGCTAATGTTTAGCCCCTGGAGGGCGTCCAATGGGGTACAAACTTCTTGCCCACTGTCGTACTCGTCCTCCACCTCTTCTGTCTCATCGGGGTCTAAGATGGCGGAGCTGTCAATGGGGTTCGGGTTCCCGCCTGAGCCCTCCCCGTCCACCTCGTAATCAATGGTTTGAGGTGTAGTGTTGTTATCTATATCACTGTCGGTATAATCGTTGTTATTGTAATCATTATCGCTATTGATATAGTCTTCGCTATTGTTTAGCTTACAAACTGTCACACAAGTTGTAAATAAAATAAATACTATGGTCAATTTTGGTTTCATTATTAACATGGTTCCGGACCAATACAAGGTTTATTATTTAATAGATTTTATAAAGTATTTTAAGTTAAAATTTTTAACTTTAGTTAAAAATATAAGTTTTGTTGTATTTTTAAAATTTCATGTGAACTTAAACTCACGTAAAAATGAAATGGCTTTATTTTCGGAGGAATTCATGAGAAAATACACATAAAAATTGATTTTCCATTAATTTAAAAGTCAATAAAACACCCCTTCATGTGATGCCCAAAAAGCCACTGCCATTGAAATGTTGTATAATTGACGTAAGCCTTCGTTGACAACATTGGAAACATTGATATATTTATTTAATTTAACATTAATTTATGATTTAATTAATTTTAATTTATATTAATATTCCTTTAATAGAGAGAGAGAGAGAGAGAGAGAGAGAGAG